ACACTGCGGACTCTCCGTGCGGGTGCGTGTGGGTGTTTCTTCGGGCTGCGCACAACAGTCGCTGCCACCGCCGCCTTCTTTGCGGCTGCCGTTTTTTATGGGCGGCGGCGAGTGTGAGATCGTGCGGCCCACACGTTCGCTAATGCGGCCTTCGTTTTTTGGATTGTCGCTGTTCTTTTCGGTGTGCCCAACTGTGGGCGAGGGCGGTGTCGTTTTTTGGTGTCGGTGTCTTTATTTGTTTTGCTTGCTTTTTTCTCACAACTTTCTCTCCCCAACACACTCGGAATGAAAGACAAGACACACTACTCGCTATTGTGCGCTTTGAGGGTTCTGGAGTCACCACCAGCAACACACACACACAGCGACCACACGCATATATAATATATACGCTCGAGTGTTGCTGCTGTCAGGTTCAGCACCCACACAATCGTCGCGGCCTGACTGGATCCAGCACGCGGAGGGAAGAGAGAGTGAGCAGCAGTCCAAAATGTCGCGGCATCGGTTTTCCTCTGCAGCGCTGCTGCTTCTCTTTGTTGTGCTGATATGCTGCGGCTGCGGTGAAGCTGCATACTCCTATCACGCGGGATTGGAGGCAAGTTACCCCTTTGGAGTTCAGCCTTCGCCGCAGCCGGTTTTGCTGTATTCAAACTTTCCGGTACCATCCACCGACTACGTGTTCCGCGGTTCTCATCTTGTGGCCGTGGGTGAGGTGCTGGTGGCCATTTCTGGAGCTTTATTCGATGCAGATGTGCAAGGCCGTGAAATGTCTGCGAAGTTGGCGGCACATATCAGCATAGACAATGGGGGGAGGTGGACTCCATACAGGTTTGCAGGTGGTGATGGTGCCGGTGCTTTTCCCAATCTGGGTTCATCATACCTCTCCAGAGACGCGCCTTACGGAAACACGGATCCGTTGTGTGCTTTTGTGGAGGGCTACGACACAAGTGGAAGGCAAGGAACTCAGTACAGCAGGGGCCAATTTGTTTCGGAGCCCAATATTTATTTTGCGAGGGCAGCCGTCTCAGGAAGATCACACCTCTTGGCGGATATTGTTCCAATGGAGAATCCCCTTCCATAACCCCCAAGGCCCCTACGACTTGATTGGTTTCTTCCACAATGTCAGTACTCCCATCACGAGAATGGCGAATGGGACGCTTGTGTTTCCTGTTCAGTTTTTGACAAGGGGATGGGGATGTTGCATCCACCGTTATGTACACAAGTGACTCTCAGCGATGGATGCTGGCGAGGAGTGCAACTCATGAGGGCTGCGTCAATCCCGCTCTTCTTGAATGGGAGAATGGAGAGCTCTTCATGATGGTCTCCTGCAGGGATGGGCGTCGCAGGGTGTACGCGTCGAAGGATAAGGGGGATACGTGGACGGAGGAGTTTGGGACACTCTCGCGCGTGTGGGGCGTCTCGAGGCGAAGCCCTGAGTTCGACTTCCCAGGTGGGTTCATCACTGCAACGATTGATGAAAAGAAGGTGATTCTCTTCAGCCAGTCCGAAGATGGTAGTTACTACCAACAAGGAGAACTTCACCTGTGGCTAACCGACACCAACCGCATCTTCCACGTTGGGCTGATATCCACCGCGGGGAACACACCCTCCAGCTCCCTGCTGTACACGGGTGGTAAGCTGCACTGCTTATACGAGGAGAGCGCGGGAAATAATCACCGAGTCCTCATTGCGAACCTGGCGGCCGAGCTACGGCGGATAAGAGTTGCGTTGTCTGTTTGGGCTTACTGGGACAGTCTCTTTTCGAGCACATGTACTTCAGCCACGTTTGCAAGAGGGAACTGCACTGTTTCTGTTCCCACGGCCGGGCTGGTTGGGTATTTGTCTGGCACCTTCGCCAGGGACCAGTGGAAGGACGAGTACCTTGGGGTGGATGCCACTACGAGAGGAGTCCAACGGAAGGCGCCCAATGGGTTGACGTTCAGAGGTCATGGCGCAGGTGCCCAGTGGCCTGTGGGCCGGCAGGGGAAGCACCAACGCTATCACTTTGCCAACTACAAGTTCACGTTTGCGGCGACTGTGTCCATTCATGAGGTTCCGACGGGCAGGACTCCCCTGGTGGGCGCGATGAACGGAGATAAAACAACCCTGCTGGGAATCTCGTACGGGGAGGATATGCAATGGAGCGCGGTGTACGGGTCGGGCGTGAAGCACTCCTCCACCAAGTGGGAGTTGCATAAAACATATCACGTGGTGCTTCGAGTGGACAACGGTGCGGGCTCTGTGTACATTGACGGCCAGTGCATATCGAATCCACAAACGATACGGCCCGATGGAACGACTTTGTACGGGATCTCGCACTTCTTCTTTGGCGCGTACGATGATTCGTCGGCCGGCAAACAAATTCATGCGACGGTGGCGAATGTCATGCTGTACAACCGTCCGTTGGATGACACGGAGATCGGTAAGCTTCACCAGAATAAAGTTTCCATTCCAAAGCCGGAAAGTGCGGAACCGC